ACTTGCCTTACTTATCTCTGTATTTCAGGAACCTAGCCCAGTGGCTGGCCACTGAAGAGCAGACAGTAGGTACTGCGGGCTAACTAAAAGGCAGGGCAGACATGAATGGAAGAGAGAAAGTCACATTTTGTAATAGGACATGTTTATCTTCCTTTCGTTAAGTTCTCAGCTTTGGCTTAGTCTTAAGTTCCTTGTCTGATTTTACCTCGGTGTCCCATTAAGCATAAACTGAAAGGTCATCTTCTAAGCTTGGGCAGGGGAGAAAGCTTGGGCAGGAGCTGAGAGAGACCAACTTGGTCTGTTTTTTTCTCCTTTGATTAAAAAAAAAAAAAAGTGAAGGCAGTATGACAAAATTTCATTATTTGTTAATTTTGAATATGGGTATAGTAGAAAAATCTCTCATTAGAAAAAGGAAAGGGGAAATATGTGTGTATGTATACACACACACATACACACATACACATACTTTTAAGATAGTAGACATTTGATTATTAAAAAGACTTTATTGGGTGGCACCTGAATTTGGCATATTCTTAAAAGGGGGTGGAACAGCATCTGCAAGGGGTGACGAGCAGGCAAAGGGGCTGGGGTCTGCTCACTGAAAAATAGTAGGAGTGGACTGTGAAGAACTAAAAATCCAGACACTGAACAATAGCAAAAGGACAAAAAGTGACAAAAAATTTCTGTGGCTGTATATTAGGCTATTACTAGATTTAATAAGGGATGCACATTCTTTCTTAGAATAGTCTTCATTTGAAAAACAGATGAACTACCTTTCCCATCTTACACATCTCACTAAAATTCCTGAAGTATTTATTTACATCATAAAAATATCAAATAATCATTTCTATTTTTCTTGGTTTAGAAAATTACCAAATTTCTTAATGCATTAAAATTGCATGACTCTGATATTAAAGTAAACATAGCACATTTAATTGAAAAATTAAGCATAAGTATGTTTTGTTAATTCAAGCTATCTTAATGTTACCAACAAATATTATTTTAGATGAAGTCTAGCCTCAACAAACTAACTGAGATTACATTAACTATACATTTCTAAATGTTGATTATAAATGCCTTAAGGGCAAAACCAACATCTTTTATCTTTTACAGTCTCTCTGGCACCTGTTACAAGAACTACCAAGAGTCTACAGAATAAATGCCTGGGAGGACTGTGCCTTCAGCAATGACGGTCTATAATGGCCATTTCAGGATAGTCAAGAAACACAAAAAACAAGATTTAGAAAGTCAATGAATAAGGAAGCATATGCTAAAAACAACCTTTCATGTAGTTACATTTTTTCTTAGGAAGAAGCAAATGGTGTTTTAAACTGATACTGACAACAGGTTAACCTCGCTGTTGTCATTCTGGGAGGGATCAAGGAAAATGATTCATTAAAGAACCATAAAGACTTCAGTTCCACACAGTCTCCTTTTGACACTTTTTTTTACAAAGTGACAAAATTAAGAACTGTTTCACCTTTAAATACCTCATATCGTTAACGGCTGCCTTGCGAAGAATGGAACTTGAGGTTCTATGAAGTAAACAGTAATAGACTAGAACTCCACTTCTTTTTACTTGAATTTGAGGACATTAGCCTACTTTTTAATCTGTCACCATAAATATCTTACAAATGCTGAGTTATTGGGCTTTATTTTCTTATTGGGTGGATATAATTTTTCTAGAAACTGTCTAATGGAGGTAGGAGAGAACTATGAACTATGGCTCCTTAATCCACTTCTCAATCCCAAAGAGTTGCCGAAATGATCAGCTGGAACTGAGAAGCTGCAAGGGGGAGGGGCTGGAATGGTTTATAAGGCAGTCAATTGTTTTCTTTCAGAAGCATTTGTGGTGGCCTAATCCAGAGTAGCAGTGAGAGCCCTGCCCAGGAGCCCCACCTGAGTTCCAGAAAAAGTCAGGACACAGCTTTGCCACAGAGACTTGGGGAGGAATGGCATTTTACTCTGGGGATAGGAATGGAGGAGGTGATGACATGGATGGTGTGACCAGCGATAAATGCTGACCTTGATTTGCTTTCATAAGATAGCATCATATAAACAGCAAGTGCTGGTGACGGTGTGGAGAAAAGGAAATCCTCATGCACTGTTGGTGGGAATATAGACTGGTGCAGCTACTGTGGAAAGCAGTATGCAGTTTCCTCAAAAAATTAAAAATGGAACTGCCTTATGACCCAGTGATCCCACTTCTGGGAATGTATCTTAAGAAACCCAAAACACCAATGAGGAAGAATATATGCACCCTATGTTCATAGCAGTGTTATTTATAATAGCCAAGATCTTACTCTTTGTGACAGCATGGATGGAACTGGAGAGTATTATCCTAAGTGAAATAAGCCAGTCAGAGAAAGACAAATACCATATGATCTCACTAATATGTGGAATCTAATAAAAAAATAAACTGATGAACAAAATGGAACCAGAAGCATGGATACATGAAAGAGACTGGTGGGTGCCAGAGGGAAGAGGGGAGAGGGGAGAGGGGAGAG